TTTAGTCATAAATTAATGGTATTTTAAAAGGTAATTGACATTACTATTTATGCGTAGAACAACTGGTAAACTGTCTATTTATAGAAAACTTTAGCCTAGTTTTACAGTCATCGGCGCATCACGCGCCAATGTGTCAGCTTGAGGCTCACCCAAGTAGTGTTGTCTTGGGAAAGACAAAAGTAAGAGAAGACAATTCATTCGTTATAATTATGCTTAGAGATTTGGTGCTATCTCTAAAGACCTAGGTACAATAGTACCCTACAAAACCACAAAAATTATCAAGGTTCAACGGAACTGAGCCATCAGCGTAACTCAGGAACATTTCTTTTAATTACAAGCTTTTAATTACATATTTACATATACATATATTTTTTTTAACGGGGGGAAATCATCGTATGATTGTACCCGCCTGGGTGAGGCCAAGCACAGCTAGTGTCATTTGTTTTTTTGAAACCTCTTCAGACGGTTCGTTTCACTTGCAACATAGACCTTGCTACTAAGCATACGTAACGTTTTAAAATTATATTCCCAAAGCAAACTGATGAGAAATTCCCTTTGAATCCGTAATTTGATTTATATTCCTGGGCTATCAAATAAATCTTGTCGTGTGTCGTATTTACACTCTAACATCAATGATTTAAGACAACTAACATCATACGGTGAGCAGTGATATATAACTTTTCATTTTATTTATTGTACTATAAACTACAAGGCACAATATATCCTATTCTTAATCAACTAAGGTGCTTAATACTGTGGCTATAAATCTGCAAAGGGTCGACGAAGGTTTAATAATTCAACGTTTGATATTCAATTGTGAGTTATTGTGAATAAGGTTTAATTTTAATAATGGGTAAGATATTATTATGGTTTTGTTATAGCTGTCAAATTAGAAAATGTTGCTCATTGGTACAATTTTTTTACTATATTTAATGGACCTACGTGTGGCCACTATCTCGCCTCGTCTGGTGGTTTAAGTAATTAAGTAGTTATCGTTGAGTTTTATACTGTCTTCCTTAGTTCAAAGAAGATACCAAAGGTTTTTCACTCGCTGCACTAATTAATTATGATCACGAGCCCCTATCGTGGCTTGAAACAAGACGAGGATCTCGACAAGTTACGTGAGTAAATCATTATGTACCTAAGGGTTATTTTATTTTTAATAATTATATTTGTCATCATATCTCTCTCCAATACATTCTAACAGACTATACTATCTTAAAATAGAACTAAAAGTTTCAAAACAAGATATAAAATATTTATAGGATTTACATACATTAACGTTATTTTAAAGTTTTAAATTAAATCAGAGCTTTTCATAAGAATACTTAAGCTTTAATCTTAATGCTAGCAATATTCATAAATATCTTGAAATTCCATTCTCACTATAACTATAATAAACAAAAACTCAATACACAGATAGAGATGAATTCTAAAATAATTTATACACAATAATATTTTCAAAAAAGATTCCTAAACAAATAAATTATCGTTCAAGACATAGATTATTAATACACCAAAGTCCTTGGTGGAAATGTCTAAATCATGAGGTCATGGGTCTTCAACCAGCTACACATTATATACAATACCTACATTTCTTTAGTATATGAATTAATTATCTCTGCTCTGAGAAAGTCTAGACAAGAATATTGTTATTTTCGACCCCAGCCTTTGAAGTTTCGAATAATTTAAACGAAGATTAATATTTATGCATAATAAATGGAAGTTTGTATGGAATCATATGGATCTAGCTCTTAATGGCGGTCGAGATCCGGTTGTTACAATGTTCTTTGAGTCTAAAAAATAAACTATCTACATTTCTAATTTCTAGGGGAAAAGTTTGAGAAATATTCAGAATAGTTTAGCTCATTTCTTTTTATCATCAATGAATCTTATTACTTTCGTTGCTTCTTGTTGTAGGCGGTCATACTATTTATTAATTTAATAGTTTATGAATGATCTATGTAAGTATTTTTTTTTTTAATCTTTATATCACAAACGTAAGTAGTAAGTATCATAAAATCTAAGCCCCACAAAACCGTTGCAATGGTTTGACTGTGAGGTCAACGAGTCTCTAGACATTACAATTAAATGTCGGTACTTACCTCTATATTTAAATATTATATAGGTGCTGTAACTTACGGTTAAATAGAACGTAAAACATTTCCAAATAATATAACTTTAATTTAGGCTAAAACCTATTTGAATTTGTTCCACTCCTTATGTCTGCCGGCAGTCTATTCAATAGATATGGTATTGTCCTATCATGAGTTTGTAAGGTTTTCTTATTCTTATTGTTTGTTTTATATTTTTTACCAAGTTTACAATTTGTCATTTAGGGACATTTCTGTTTTGTTTCTTTTTAGAAATATTTAAATGTATAACGCTTTGGTTTTATTACTGTAATGTTATACTATTTTAATTGAAATAAATAAATAATTCTCTTTTTTAGTGTTCTATCGCCATACTAGTTGGTGACTCAGGGTACATTGAGTCTACCAGCAGCCAAAGATGGTGTATTATGGTTGTTTTTTAAACTGTCAAACACCAAGCGGTCACCGGTGACCGCAACCTATTGTTCTATAATTGTGTCTACAAAACCGGTACTCGAGTTAAATGAGTTAAGTTATGCACTTGGGTATGATGGTGGTAAACTAATAAAAGACCTATCCTAACCTGACATAACTAATGAAATACCCATCGAATATCGATTCCTCAAATCTTTAAGGCTCCAATGCACTAACTCATCAGGTGTTTCAAGTCTCCAAGCGCGACGCCAATGGGGCCACTCACCAGATAGCGTTAGTGTAAACCTCTCCTTCTTCGTCCAATAGGGAATTACCTAGTATCACACCATTGGACGTTCCTTATTTGACAGCTGCTGTGATTGGACAAAAAACCATTTATGCATTTACGCCACCTGTTGAGCAAAAAAAAAACGTTAGCTCCCCTTGCTTACCATCAGGTGATCCAATTGCTCATAACATAAAGAAGTATTACACTTAATCAATATTTCCTGGATAAAGTAACTTCAGCTTTGGGCTGAAATACTTACCGACTTTGTATTGGTCAACTATCTCTAAAGTACTGCAAAACGATATAGGTAATCGAGACTAGAATACTAGGTGTCGGTTGAAATGAAATTCTAAATTCCTAAAATGATAGGGTCTATTTCTAAAATAAACCGTTCAGCGACCAATAAAGATGATTACATGAAGGCTAATTAAACTGTCAAACACCAAGCGGTCACCGGTGACCGCAACCTATTGTTCTATAATTGTGTCTACAAAACCGGTACTCGACGAGTTAATTCCTTACAGGAAACACTGCCAACATCTAACTTTTCTTTTTTTTGTCCCACACTAGGATTTTCTCCTGTGTGCGTTTACAAACATACAAGTTCACATACACGCGACACTCAAACCCGAAACAACAATATATGGATTACACAGAGTTGTTCCGTGCGGGAATCGAACCCGCGACACGTTGCACGGCAGCCAGTTGCCCAGCCACGGCGCCAACCGTGCAGTCACAACTGTAGCGCTTTACATATTAATTGGTAAATATCGGAGACGGTAAATTATTTAAATATTAAAGTCACTATTCAGGTTCACAAAATATGGACATTAAACACCTGCATAATAAAACTTGTATATTGTGATTTATCTATTAAATGTAAGGGTTTATAGGTGAACTCTAAAAGGGAACGGTCCTTACTACGATTACTGGGTTTTAAAAAAAATCTCAGTAGTAGCACAGAGTGTGCCCGGTATATGATAATCCGGAATATGATATGTGCACATCTGCCTACCCCTTAAGGCGTGATGTTATGTTATGTGGAATGGTCCTTGTTCAACAATGGAGCCAGTTTCTCTGACTGATGAAGATGACGATTAAAACTCTTCTTCCTTTTATTTCTGCCCTTATTTCAAGTAATCTGGCTTCGGCGAAATATACTGTCTGATTGCTTTCAATCATACACATATGTTACGATATTCCTCTTTCATATATTCTCTAACCAGTTCATCTCTCTATCTCTTCATTTCAATGCATGCAAATTCTATAACATCTTTCATGATAAAGATACATGATAAGTATTTACCGAATAATAAATGTTGTTGAAGCAAATTACAAACACATTAAAAAAGAATACTCTTACGCACATTCATTGCGGCTTCTACAACTTATTACAAGTTACAACGGCCTAGGAGGCGTTACTCGTACAAGATACGATCATAAAATTATCAATAACTCACACGGATGTAAATATTTTAAATAACATTAATAACATACAACATATAACGTATTGATTGTAATTAAAAATAAAGATGAACTTGTGAGATGGGATTTATTAATTACAGATTATGAGTGAAAGTTCGTGGTTCACCTCCAAGTGTTTCTTATAGGCTTCTGAGTTACTATTCCATGGTGCATGGTGTATGGTGTACGAATGTGGTCGTGTCATTATGAGTTTACGATTAACTATAAAAGCCTTAGTCATAAAATGCTGATGAAAAATTCAAGTCATAAAGTTGAACTTAAAAATGTATAATATAAAAGAAGATATAGCGTAGGAGCCGTAGAAAATATGTCTTCTCAAACAGATGCAATTAGTGAATCACTAGATAGTTAGCACAGGCACTAAGAATGTTTGATACAAAATCAAGACGGGGTCAACAAATGTTTGTGTTTCACCTAAAACGAAAATTAATTTCCGTAATATTCTAGATCCGGAAGCAAGGATATTCCACAAACATATGCAAATATTAACGAAAAATACAAAAAATATTTTAATCAGTCATTTAATATACACATAAAGTCGTGCGAGCAAAATCTAATTAACCCGATTAATCCCACCAGTCACAACTATCACAAATTTTCATATTTTATCGATAGAGTCCAGTGACCGTGTTTCCGATTAACGTTCAATCGATTCGGAATCGAGCGATATGCTGAGGGCGGGTCGGGTCGAATTGATCTGTGCAGAATAAGCAATCGCACCACTTGCACGCCGACCGCTCGAGCCGACGCGTCGCGTCAAAAACCGCGGGAACACTGACATCTCCGTCCTTGGATCGATTTGAAAAAAGAATGTGATTGTTTTTTTTTTATTTAGTGCAAAAACTGTTGTGGATTGTTATCAACCTCCATGGAAGTTTATTTGGATAGTGATGTTTTCCTGAATTTTCTTTGGTAAGTTTCTTCAAAATTAGGATTTTTTTAGTTTATAATTTGAGCAATTTTATCAACAGCGTACTTCTATGTGAACTATGGTGTAGACCCAGTTATGTTCCTTGAGGAACTCCTCTTTAAATATGGTAAATTATGTGAAGAAATCAAATAAAAGCAGTAGTGACATAACTTTTGATCAGTAACGTTAAGATCTTTTAAACTTTAACGTTCACAGATAAAGGTTTAATTAATTAACATAAGAAAACAATAATGTGACTTCATTCAATCGTTTTCGATAATACGAATATTCGAATATTTGAACTTTGATTGATTGAAGTTGTTTATGTTAAACTAAACATTTTAACAACATTATTTTCTTTGAAACAAAATGTTATTTTGGATTCTTCGTTATTAATTGTTGTCCCATAGATTGACAACGATTTTATCTACAGGATATAATTAATGTACATTGAGATATGTATCTTGAGATACAATTAGTATGGGGTTAATGATAAAATTGTATTTGTATTAGTTATTGAAATAGAGTTCATTATTTTAAGCGTAGATAATCTAGAATTTATTATTTTCGGTATTCCATAGATATATATTTTATTTTTAAACTACTAGGCGTAGAGATAGCATTATGGTTCATTTTGTTTGTAGTTTATGATTTTTTTTTAATATAAGACTTTATTTCTATTATGTAATCAAATTGCCGATATAACTATTATTCCTACTAACATTTATAGAAAAAGGACCATATACTAGAGGTAGATAACCAAGTGAGTAAATCACCAGATGTTTTATTATTTCTATCCTTTATATTTTATTTGCTAATTAATGTTAATGATAGGTATGTCGGCTCAAAGTTTAACGGTAAAATAATATATTTCGACATAAATAATGAGATTTATTGACCTCGATGATCTAGTAAAGTGAATCAATTGGCAATTAATGAAATATTTATGTTTTTTTAAGTAATAAACTTGAACTTTATTGAATAGTTGATATTGCACCAATCTGAGCATTTTTAATTAAGAACTTTTTATTTTTATATGGCAACTTAGAAATGATTTGGAAAAATACAAAAATAAGAATTTTTTTTTTGAATATTTTATTGCACTGAAAAGTCGATACAAATTTCTTTTGACCGCGGAAAGTATCAAATTAAGAAGTCAATTTGAACCCTTCTTTGAGTAAAATTGGTTCTAAGTACCAACTAATGGAATTTCTTTCTCATTAATTATGATTTATTTTAATTATTTAATTTGTATATTTTTTTTATTGTGTAATAGACTAAACTTCTTTGTGATTGACCATAAACAAACATATAAAAATAAAACGGACTTGGATTCTCGAAATGTCAACTGATGACATCGAGAACGAGGGTTTGAAAAAAAACGGGCTTGAATTCTCGAAACGTCATTTTGACGATTTCGAGACGGCGCGGCGGTCGAAAAAGGCGGGAAAACGAATGGGATTATGAACGGATGACGGCATTCTGTTGGGGGGACTATTTAATTGACGAGAGGAGATATAATATTTGTTTCTTTGTTATAAATGTGCTTTGGGAGAAAATAATATTTTGTATTATCGATACCAAGTTGTTGATGCTACAGTGGAATTGCGTTTATACTAGGTTATAATAACTTTCTTCATATATTAAAATTAATGAGTAAAATATTATGTTAATATTCCTTTCATTCCGCTTGCCTTACTGTCACTTTGATTGACAACTAACGCTAAGGGTAGCCATTTGACCTCTTGGAATTTACTGCCCAAAGATGTAAGTGCAACATTATGTGCTTCCTTCATTATTTATGTTATGTACCTAGTAATAAATTACCATAAATGTTGAGTAAGTAACTAGTTTTAGTCTAGGATTCCTTTGTTAGTCGGAGTAACTGAAAGTGCGACTGTCAAGGAGTTCGAGAAAATGTCCAAATATAAAAAAATCCGGTAATTATTTTGACTGACTTGAGAAGTGAACTAGGGATCCCTGGAATAGGCATCGGAACTTTAATAAACATCAAATAAAAATAAACATTATTTAAATTACGTTTAAAAAAACTGACTTCAACACCTTCTTTTTTGAAGACCGTTAATCAATATACTCAAACCTTCACTTAAGTGTAAAAAACACTGTTCTAAAACCGCATCCAAATCGGTTCAGCCAATCGCGAGATAATTGTGCACAAATATATAAACAAACATACATTCATACATACCTACATACAGGTAAAACTGAGAACCTCTTCTTTGTGAAATCATTTTTAACCGACCGGCACCAAACGATAAAATATGTCACATTGTAAGTTGTGTTATTATACCTCCTTTAACAAGCGCCTTAATTAAATATACAGTTGGTTAATTATAAATGTCACTTTAAAACGAAGATTAAGTATTTGTATAGATAATGATTAAACATAGCTTCTGGGCCACGGACTACGGAAACCCCGTAAAACTGTCGCTTCCAACTATTTTATGTTTAACAATAATTGTCATTAATTGTCGATCTAGTGCGTGGCCTCCGGTTTAGTTTCGAGTTTTAGAATTCTCTATTATTATACGCCTATGTTTGGTTTTACCGTACCGTAATCCCTATTATCGTAGAATAGGCCTGATTTTAGAACTATTGAAAAGTACCTAATTTCATGTTACTCTATTCAACCGACTTCAGAAAAAGAAGGAGGTTGTCAAGTTTAACGTGTATGTATGTATGTTTGTGCGCTAATATCTCACGATTTGCAGAACCGATTTTGATGCAGTTTTCCAAGGTCGAAAAACGTGAAGCTGAAGCGTTTTTTTTAAACACAGTTTATGAAAAAAAAATTCAATTGTACTATAGTAATAATAATCCTGCCCGAATTTAGCCAGAGATCTGGTTTTGACTATTGAGAACCTCGCTGGTGTTATCTCAGGTGTCTGAAGTATCCAATTTTCATTCGTTTCGGGCTAAGTGCTATGACATACCGATCTGGTCTGGTCATAAGAGTCTGACACTCCCTCTCATCGCACTCAGGGCGGGAAGACACATTGTACCTCTATAATCCCCTCCTCCCAAAAATGTGCCAAGTTTTGCTATGATAATATCCAAAAGGTATGCTCATGTCACGTCTCACGCTCATACACGTCTTTGCAACACCTCTTCAACGTAATTATATTGGAAGCCCGCAGATGTCGGACCTTAAACCTATTAGTATAATTTACATGACCATTTATTTTTTGACTCTAAATGTTTATTTAGATTCAGTCAGTGGAACCTGTAAACACAAACTTTGTTCCCACAAAAAAGGTAAACATTTAATTTTGTAACTGCACAAAAATGTAGGTAGATGGTTAAAGATTTTTCGACAGTCAAAAATTAGCGAGTCATCTGTGGAGTCATGTATACTACTTGAACTGTTCGAACGATCGTCGTATTTTTTTAAGGGGGGAAAATCATCGTTTGACTTCTCCCGCCTGGGTGAGGCGGGAGCGAGTGTCAGACTCTTATTGACTAAAAACCACCCCGTCTACCCTACTCCTGCTCTTCGAGCCGGAGCCCCGGTTACCCGTTAAGTCCCCCTCGACTATTCAAATTTTTGCGAGGTTTCTGAAAACCAGACAATTTTTCGTCCCAGAGTTCATTTCGGGGACAACGGGATTCGTAATAATAAAAAGGTACAGTCTCGTTCAACACGGGACGTCCAGTTACGTTAAATATTTGTACTGTGTATAATCAAATAACAACATTCGATCAAAGCAAATTTTCTTTTAACACTTTCCAATCAGATATTTTTTATAATTACTACTTTTTTAATAAATCACTTGAAACACTACCGATGGTTCTCAATGCACCGTGTTATTACAAACACTCTTACAGACCAACTCAATCCGTTTGATTAATTTGATTATTAATAATTATTGATTGAATTAAACGTTCGTTACTATTAATTACTTAGTTTAATAGTTAGTTAAGTCTTGTAACATTTTTGCTTTAATATATGAGAAATAGGTTAATTAGTTGTGTTTTATGGGTGCATATGTGATTTTTATAAATTGTAATATTAGTCATGTAGGTACTTACTTAGGCATATTGTTTAGGGTTTAGTCGTTGTAAACGTAACGTTGGACAAGACTTCTTAAAATATATACATACATATAATAAAACTGTCATCATCATCATCAACAGCCTATAAATGCCCACTGCTGAGCAAAGCCTCTTCTCACACGGAGAAGATTTGAGCATTAATCACCACGCTTGCTCAATGCGGGTTGATAATATCAAACTTATAATTAGTAATTATAAGCCCAGGTTTCCTCACGATGTTTTCCTTCACCGTGGGTCAGTGGTGTCTGAATAATCTTAGAAAGTACATATAACTCGGAAAAAGTCATATTGGTACTTGCCGTTGGTAGGTTTCGAACCCGCATCCTCATGCATGAGAAGTGGGCGTCTTAAAAATCTATACATATAATATAACTGTAGAAGTGTACATTCTGTACCTACATTAAAACATGTATGCGGCTCAATCCCTAGACACAGTTACTGTACCAAACGCATATATAAGTTTATCGAATTTTAGGTTGTCCGCAGTAGGACCGATGGTTGAAATTAGCTTGAACTGATACTATAAATATGTGACTTTGTATGTTTGTTACTCAGACACATCGAAACGGCTGAAGGGACCGAGATGAAATTTGGAACAGAGGTAGATTATTTTATGGAGTAACATAGCCTTAATTTTTACTTTGAGAACGTGGGCGATGCCGCTGGCAGAAGTTAGACATTACTAAAGCGAAACGCGTATTCATTGTCTAGGTATGTAGGTCGCGGGGAACCTAAAGGGTTACCGGGGCTCCGGCTCGACGTGCAGGAGAAGGAACGGGGTGGTTTTTAGTCAGCAAGTCTGACACTCCCTCCCGCCTCACCCAGGCGGGAGCAGTCATTCGATGATTAACTATGCCCCCTTAAAAAAAATTGATTATCTAGGTACTTAGATTTAAAGTGATAAGCTTTTGCGTAGACGTACATTTTT